GTGAGGTGGGGTTTATGATGAAATGTCTGTCAGGTTACAAAGTTCAGGTTTTGAGGCCCGACACATTAAATGAGATGTATGTGAAGAGGATTTGCTGGCCCGCTCTCTTGAATCCAGCATCTTAAGAGGGCTTCAAAGATGCTACTGTAGGACTTGACTGAAGCACACTTTGTAAAACATTGGTAATACGTTGCAACAGTACCATACAGTACATGGTTTTGGTTTCATTGAAAATTAAAGCAGGAAATGCAAATCTGACAATTTTTTCTTCCTATTGTTGTTGCTTTTTTTCACAACAGTGGAATTACACTACTTTTTGATCTTTGTGTATTTTTGCAGTACAAAATTTTTTTACCCTGAATCAAGATCTATTTCAGAAGATTCTATTATTTTATCCAGGGCTTAGCTACCTGATGATTTTGGAATAAATTACGTAAAATGCAGTTGATCATAGTTTATCAAGAATTCAATTTACAATTTACCATAAAGAGATTTGCCAAAAAAGGAGGTTTGTATTTGTGCAACAGTTCAGTAAATCTTAGCTGTGTCCCAATTCAGAGGCTGCATCCTTCGAAGTCTGCAATGGTAGAACCTAACTATAAAATCAAATCTTAGTAAGATGTAAGTCATCATTTAAACAGCTTTAAAGTTGTGTTGTTGTTGTTTTTCATTTCAGTTTTTTTTTTTACATTTGTACATTTGTATTATTAGATATTCGACTAAGTTTAAACCCAATACTTACATATAAAAGTGTAATCCGGCATTTTCTCTCAAAAAGTCCTGTCATCATTGGCGCAATGAATCTCGGGATAGTCTGGGCCACAATGTATCCATTAGTTGTATCCTTTGTTGCCTGGGAAATGAAGGATGCAGTTCAAGGCCGCATTTGAAGGAGTCTTCAAATTGGGATGGCCTTTGTCGTGCCAGTTGATGGAATTTGTTTTCAAATGCAGCCTTCGAAGGCTTCTGAATTGGTACAGAGCTCTTGACGGAGAGAATGGCGGATGGCAAACAAAGCTTCTCAATGCAGCAGTTTGATTGGCTATTTGAGCTGTCACTCATTTATCTGTCGTAAGGTAAATTTTAAGTCAGATAAAGACCGAAATCGAATAAATTTAGTTTCAATAACATTTAAAAAACTGAAATAAAATGTGACAACAATAAGCCCAAAGTATACTTCATGTCCATGTTTTGCTCTTGCTCGCAGACCGTCTATGTTACGTAATTTTCGCCATTAGTTGATGTCTATGCACATTACCTATGTGCAGAGTAATTTTTGCATCCATGTGAACTTGTGCGCAGACAACCGTGCATGTACGAGTGTTTTGAATGCTCAAAAACAAAGGTCCGTTAAGCCCAAAAAATACTTTTGTTTTAATGCAAATACTTAGCATATGCGAACTGACAAAAGCATAGACCTTTAAGCTCAAATAATGAATAAAGGATGGTCCGGTTCAAGAGTAAACAATTTGTTATTCACCAATTATCATCCACTTCACCATGACACTCTATTCCTGCACTTGCAATGGCTGTAGGAAGCATTATCACAGGTTTGACGTCAGTCAATTGGTTCTTGTAAGGCTTGTGACCTCTTTTGATCAAAATTTGGATGTATCTTTTTAAATCTCATATTTAGCAGAGCTAGGATATGGCACCCTGCAAAATGACACCTGTGCACAGATCACTGTGTGTGTTTTGGCAGTACAGAGGGTGACCTGTCTGTGTGTTAAGTAATGCTGTGCTTAGAGAGTATTATGACCAGACTCTTTAGCGATAATGCTTTGGCCCGTGGAGTCTCCGTGCTGTCTGTCATAGATGCAGGTCTCTAAAGTCCGAAGAGGTTAAAGAGCATTTAGTGTTGAGAGTTGGACCGTCTGATTCTATGGCCATCCCAGAATATCCCGGTCAGCTCTTCCTGAGTGACTGAGCTTATAGAATAGCTCGTCCCACATGATGGTGGGAAGGTGGCTGTGTCAGCAGGCACTCAGTGTGAGATAGTGCGCTCATGTGCCCTTTGTACTGCCTGCTATGCGCGGTGGTATGTATCTAAAGGTCGAGGGAGGTACATGAAGCTCCAGCGGGGAGATATCGGGCCACTCGTTGCCCTGGATCCCAAAGGCCAACATGACACTGTCAACTCTGAATTCATTATCCTGTCAGGAGTTTGTATCTTACAGTATTATATCAGGGAACTCAGATTAGTGTCGTATCAAGTTTTCTTGTATATATGATCACATAAAATTTACTTTTAATTGAGTTACTGTTTAGTGACAGATGGCATACTATTTAGAGAGGCATTCTGGGGTTTAGTGAGTTGCTCAAGGGAGCAATAGTCACAGATCAGGTTTGTGATCCCAATAACTCTCCAGTCACCCTTATTTAGGAAATCTAGGTGGTTGTAGGCTACCACCACCTTCATCTTTGGATATAGGTCTTTATTTTTGGGTCATGGGATCCTGATTGATAGATTACTGACACTTTTTTTAAAGACACTAATGGCTCATTCAGGTCCAGACAGCTCTGATCAACTCAGAACAAAGTGGAACAAACAGACACTCTCCTGCTGGAGCTTACAGGTATTACACACACTCACTTCACTTATTGGGCGCTATCTATCTATCTATCTATCTATCTATCTATCTATCTATCTATCTATCTATCTGCCTGCCTGCCTGTCTGTCTGTCCAGCTATCGTTTTATGATTCTATCGTTCTATATTTCTGTCTATCTAAGAATTCCTAACACACATGTCCTGTCGGCTCCCTGAAGGGGAATGGCGTCTCAGATACCACTTCCTCTCCTAACACAGGATGTTTCCTACAGTTTCATGTAGTGTCAGGCCAGCACAGTGTGTCACATTATGACAAAGCTGGATGAGGGTAACACACACAGGTTTTTGTGAAAAGTGGGGACATCCTATAGGCGTAATGGTTTTTATACTGTACAGACTGTATATTCTATTGCCCTACACCAACCCTACCCCTAAACCTACCCCTTTCAGGAAAATTTCAGATTTTCAATACACGCCATTCTGTGTGATTTATAAGCGTTTTGAAAAGTGGGGACATGGGGTAATGTCCTGAAAAGTGACCTTCTCCTTGTAATACCTATGTCATACCTTTGTCATTATACAAATGTATGTCCTCATTTGTCACAAAAACACGCGCACACACATACACATCAAAATGGCTTAATGCTGACAGACCAGTCACCTGTCTGTTCCTGGGTGCTCTCCTCATCTCTTTATGAATACAGGATCACAGCTTAATTCTGAGCCCAGCAGTGAGTGTTACATTACACGAGCGGATTGCTGATACATTTTCAATATTCAGGTTTTTATTTGTTCATAGAATCGTTTTGATGTAGGACATGCCGTTCTCCACGTGGCCGCACACGCACAATGCAGCATGCGTGGGTGAACTGACGCAGTCTCCATGACTCACTCTGACACCAAACCTCACTTACAGCATCATTAACGTCCTTCTGCGTCTGTGGCAGGTGAGCAATCACAGAGCTGCACAGATCAGACCGGCTTACAGCCATCGCACTGCAGCCGCTCCACTGCCGGATTCTTTAAACAGCCATGAAGAGCTTGAGAAATCAACTGATCTTAGCAAAGAGCTTTTATTTTTAAACAAAAATGTCATTGTTCTTTAATGAAAGTTACTTTAACATGTACATTTTGACCTGCTCCAGAAACACATAATATGACCATGCTTTATAGTCATAAATAACCATTTGTGACCCTGGACCACAAAACCAGTCTTAAGTCGCTGGGGTATATTTGTAGCAATAGCTAAAAATACATTGTATGGGTCAAAATTATTGATTTTTATTTTATGCCAAAATTCATTAGGATATTAAGTAAAGATCATGTTCCATGAAGATATTTTGTAAATTTCCTACTGTAAATATATGAAAACTTAATTTTTGATTAGTAATATGCATTGCTAAGAACTTAATTTGGATAACTTGAAAGGCTATTTTCTCAATATTTTATTTTTTTGCACCCTCAGATTCCAGATTTTCAAATAGTTGTATCTCGCCCAAATATTGTCCTATCCTAACAAACCATACATCAATGAAAATAATTTATTCAGCTTTCAGATTATGTATAAATCTCCATTTCGAAAAATTGACACTTATGACTGGTTTTGTAGTCCAGGGTCACATTTTAGCCATAAATAACAATTAAAAATATATATAATAGTTAATAGTTATCTGTAATGTCCATTTCAATTACAGTTTCAACATCCAGAAAATTATTTTTAGTATTATTTTCCTAGTAGTAGTAGTATTTTTTATAATTATCTAATAGCAAAAAAAGAAAAAGAAAAAGAAAAAAACACTTTAAAAAAATCAAGATGGATGATATGCCTTGATTGATGTAAACTTAAAAACCTCCAAATTATGGCATATTTTCTGCTCTGTCACAGGCTTTAAATTAAAAAGTTGTTTGGGTAACACCAAATGTCATAAAACACCACAGAAGAGCGAAGCCATTGGAAAAGACACAAGCTCTAAAACCTTTTCATAAACAGTAAAGCTGTGTAATATAGGTGCTGTCATTAACATTTTAATCAATGTTATTTACTAGAATATGTTGAAATTGAACATACCACTTTCAGGAAAACAAACAACACCATAATGCTTTTATGCTAGATTCTGGCCTGTACCCATAGCAACAACATCCCGGGAAAGTCGTCACCGATAGCCTCGTGGGCAGCACGTCGACATGTAGTGCCATTGTGCTTCGGGTGTCCCGTGTTTGAGTCCCGGCTTGTGGACCTTTCCTGATCCCATCCCCCCTCTCTCTCCCACTTCGCTTCCTGTCTCACTACTATCCTATCAATAAGGGTGGAGTGAATGTACAGCGCTCTCCCACCTTCAATACCATGACTGAGGTGCCCTTGAGCAAGGCACTGAACCCCCAACTGCTCCCCGGGTGCCGCAGCAAAAAAAAAAGGCTGCCCTGCCCACTGCTCCGGGTGTGTGTTCACGGTGTGTGTGTGTGTTTTCACTGCTGTGTGTGTGCACTTTGGATGGGATAAATACAGAGCACTATGCAGTGGAGGACCTTTTGGAGGTCTTTTGAGAGAAGATTACAACTTTCATCTTTGATTATGAAGAGCATTCAGAATAAGCCTCAGATGTGTCTAGTACCAGACGCAGACTACTGTTGCAATTTTTTGCTGTCAGTAAGAATTAAAAAAAATATATATATACTTTTATTCAGCAAGGATGCATTAAAATGATTAAAAGTGACAGTAAAACATTTACAAAGCTTACATTTACAAAAAAATATATATCTCAAATAAATGCTGTTCTTTTGAATATTCTATTCATTACATAACCCTGAAAAAAAGTATCATAGTTCCACAAAAATATTAAACAGAACAACTTTTTAACATTAATAATAATAACCAAATCTGTATATTAGAATGATTTCTGAAGGATCATGTGACACTGAAGACTGGAGGAATGATGCTGAAAATTCAGCTTTACTATCAAATAGCAAATATATAATTAAAAAATATATATTAATACAGAAAAGAATTGCAACAATATTTCACAATATTTACCCTTTTTTTTTCTTTTTTTTTTTTTATCAAATAAGCGCAGCCTAGGTGAACATAAGAGAAAAAAAAAGTATAATTCTTACAGACTCCAAACTTTTGAACAGTGGTCTATCTAGTACTTCTGGAAGCCCGTTTGGTTAGGAAACCTTCAGCATTACTTCTGCAAGATGATATAAACTAGCTACTGTACAACTACAGAACCTTATTATATTTTATTATATACATTCATTACTGCTTTTTAACTAAACACACAATAAGCCGAATACAATAATTAAGCATTTACTTAAACATTCTTTATTCTGATATAAGGAACAGACATGGACAGAGACAGTGACATTCTGAATCTGAAAAGAGTCCTAAATTAAGAGCCAAATAAAGATCTCAAAGTCCACATTGTGGCCAGCAGAGGGCGATACGCGGTTTTTAGATAGACTTGGATGGCAGCAATGCAGCATCCAATTTTAAACAAAAATACAGAGCAACAGCGTTGACCACATGATTTCAGGAATGTAAACTTCAGTATATTCTATTATTGTTACAGGAAATGTACAATAAACTCAACTTGCACTAAAGCATCTGTAAGAACTCAGCCACGGCCAATATATATCAGATGGCTACAGAATGTGTAACCTTTTTAACAGATCTTATTAATGGCAGATAACCATCCTGTGTTGACCACAAAATGCGTTTTTCACTTTTGAAAGTACAGTATGATAGTTAGTCCCATCCTGATTGTTTTGTCCAGCGAATCCACTGCTTACTAATATTGCAGAATCTAATAGGCTGGTACACAATGTTCAGACATGGCTTGTAAAAACCATAATTGCATGCAATTTAGTGTCTAATCCAGAACCGTCTTACAAAATGGCATAATGCAGATGGGTTGTTCCAAACTTTTGTCTCAGCAGGGGCTCGGCCCCGGCAGTGCTGAAACACACTCGTTGCGATCCAGCTGTTGGCCACATGTGTGTGATGGAGTCATTGAGTCCATACCCGGCTCTACATAATATCCTTTCTTTCAGAGTTCCTAAGGACCACCATGTTGGGATGAACAGTAGGCGGCTGAAGAACCTCGGCTTTGTACAGAAGGTTCTAGGATCTTCTGGTTGTGGATGTAGTGTGAAGATGCTGAGGAAAGCCCTTATGTGGATGAGAAGGTATGGGGCTGCTGGCCCTAATCTTGTTATCCCAGCCTTCTTAATCCAGATCCAGTCAGTCTTTACACCTCTTCAGTCACACAAATACAAACACACTTCCAATACAAATACATCACAGACATCATGGAGGGCAGCATGATGATGGGTGTTGAAGGGATCAAGAAAACCATCTTGCATGGAGGGACCGGTGAGAAACTTAAATTTGTCACAGGAAGCATCATTGCATCTATAACAGTAGAAACTGTTCCAGGATGTGAGTCATTTCATTGTTTGCCTAACTGAATCTAGGGATCACGTCTTTTTTCATTACACACGTAATAGGTTGTTTTTATGGGAGTAGGCAAAGTAGTTTTCTTGTCTCTTTAATGTCATAGTAAGTTGATCACGTCACTTGTAGGGAGTGTGTGGCTTTAAATAAGCAAAAACTATAAGTTCTCATGAGGTATATAGAGATTTTTAGTGCGGAGTACTATTTTTTATTTTTTATTTTTGTGGATTTCACAGCAGATTTAACCCAAAATAACAAAATTTGGGGCTAAAGCTTTTTTAAACTCTTCCATGTTCCTTACAGGTGACGTTCCATTTCCGCACTCAGCTCTGCAACGATGAGCGTACAGTGATCGATGACAGTAAGAAGGCAGGTATGCCCATGGAAATGGTGATCGGGAACTTGTTTAAACTGGATGTCTGGGAGATTCTGCTCATGTCCATGAACATAGGGGAGGTGGCTGAGTTCTGCTGTGACGTCATTGTAAGTATAATGTGATTCTCATTCTCCCTGGTCAGTACCACAAACTACAGAGGTGGAATTAAAAATTATAAATAACTGAATCGTCCAGACTCATCGGACATTGAATTGGATCTAAATTAAATGGACTCTATCAAACTTAAATTCAAAGACACAAAAATCAATAATAATAATAATTTTATTGAATAATAATTATTATTAAGTTACTTGTCAATTATTTGTAGTTAAAACTAGGTACAATTATATGAATTTCCTTGAATTTTATTCCATTTTAATACTACTTCCTCAAATTAATTTTTTTCAATTTTACATCCACTTGGCTCCCTCAAATTCAGTTAAATTTCAATTTAAAACCATTCTCTTTTCCATTCTCGATGCTGAACTTAAATTATTAATAAATGTAATATTATATACATGTACCTTACCGTTTAAAAGCGTGGGGTCAGTAAAGTTTTTAATGTTTTTGAAAGAAGTCTCTTGTGCTCACCAGGGCTGTACAATAAAACCAGTAATATTGTGAAATATTATTACAATTTAAAATAACCATTTTCTTTTTGAATATATTTTAAAATATAGTTTATTCCTGTGATGACAAAGCTGAATTTTCAGCAGAAATCATTCTAATATGTTGATTTGGTGCTCATAACATTTCTTATTATTATCAATGTTGAAAATAGTTGTGCTGCTTAATATTTTTGTGGAAACCGTGATACATTTTTTTTCAGGATTCTTTGACGAATAGAATGTTCAAAACAAGAGCATTTTTTGTAACTTTGTCTTTAAGGTAATTTTTGATCAAATTAATGCATTCTTTCTGAATTTATTTTCAAAAAATATTCCTGAACCCAAAACTTTGAACAGTAGAAAATTATCTTAAAAAATTATTCACACCTCACATTTGAGTGAAGGCCAAATTGTAAACTGACATCATAAACCGATAACCCTTTACACAGTAAATGTGTTCAGATGAGAAATGGTGATTGGCATTTCAGTCAGTGACCTTTATGCTTAGCTACAAGCACAAAGTTGTGGAATACCACAGTTCCAGACTGGAGTGTGTCATATATTAGCCTGACAGAAAGCTTAAATCCTTACAAAATAGGATTAATCTGAGTCTGTTCCACATGGTATAATCATCATTTACAGCTGCCATCCCAGCTCCAGCACCTGAGATACAGTACTGTGGCTCTAACAGTCTCTAGCATTATGGGAATGCCAAGATTTCTAATACAAACACAGTCATGAACACATAAACACACACTTCTAACCTTGAGAAATGGCTTTTAAAATACTAGTTGGAAATGGAATTATTTGCAGTAACGCCAATAAATGAAACTTTTACCCTGAAAATGACTTATTTTAGGGATTATAAGTAAGTATTAGTGTTTTCAGTGTTTTATGTTCTTTCCTCTATGGCCGAGCAGCACACAGCATTCAATAGTGGCAAAGAGTCTGCGGCGTATCGCAGTGGGGAAAAATCCGGTGGACTGGCACATTCACACCTGTGGCATACCCAACATGTTTGCCTACAACAGCCTGGGCTATGATGATTTGGATGAGCTTCAGAAAGAACCACAGCCTCTTTACTTTGTAATGGAACTTCTGAAGGTCTGGACTTTCAGTCACATTGAGAAAAATATTTGCATTCATTTGTAAATGAGCAGATATTTGCGTAAACATACTTTCATATTTAATGTGGATTTTACTTGTACTTTTACTTTACATGAAGAACATGTCCCACACACTGCTTTAGCTTGCAAAGAAGGCTTGATATTTATCATCACTGCAAGGTTTTGTTCTAAAGACCATCGCCAGGAATTTAGAAAAATCGAAAAGCTGTAGTGATAATTAACAAATATTCTTTGAATTGAATTATTCTTCGCAAGCTACAGCAGTGTGCAGGACTTTGTCTTCTTTAATAATATACTTCCCATATATGCACCAGCTGTAACCTTTCATGGCTTTTTATATATCTGCAATATTATATTTAGTGAAATACATTATTCAGCTTACGGCTTTCAGTAGATCTATACCAGACCGCTGACTGTTTTTTTTTAATTCACAAGCGCAGTACACAAAATGACCATTAGGAAGAGCTATGAGATCATTTTCAAACTTGTTTAAGCTGTGGCATTAACTGGAAACTAATTTTATGTGCGAAACTTACTGCAGTAATCAATAATGGGTTCAGGTACAGCAGCCCAGTGAGAGTATGACAGAGAGTCCTGGGCTCTGAATGAAAGCGGAACCTGTGGTCAAGGGAACAAGCTCTTCAAACAGGGCCGATATGATGAAGCCACACTGAAATATAAGGAAGCCATTATGTGCATCAAGAATGTGCAGACAAAGGTAAGAATACACCTCTGTAACATGTTTTAATACATTCAGTAGCTTAAAAATGGCTATATTCTTAGAAAAAAATCTCCTTGTTTTGATCATGAAAGGATAGAATAATAATACCACTTATATAATATTAATGAGGCATGTCTCATTTAATTGAAATGTGTCTGTTTCTTCAGGAAAAGGCATGGGAAGCTCCCTGGCTGAGACTGGAGAAGATGGCCAACACAC